TAAATGAATTCAAAGTAATGATTACAAATCTGCAAGTGGGTAGATACCGTGCAAATCCTTCCTTGCCTTCCATTGGCTGATAACTTAGGATATATCCTAAAATTCCCTAGGGCTTGGACAAGTGTACGGCCCTCTATCACTCATAGACAAAACCTGAATCTGCCAAGTTGATGACAGCCATATTCTTCTTGTCATGGAGCGACATGACAACTCCTGAACGACACAAAGCTTTCCTGAACTCTAATTGGTGCTTGCTGACGTAGGCTAACGTCAACCCTGATTTTTTCAGCATAACAACATATATATTTAATATTATAGAGGAAGCAAATTGAGGCAAAAGGGTGTTGGTGAAAATCAAACACAGCAATAAGAAAAAAGAGAGAAGATATTGGTTGGAGAAACCACCAAATCGACAGAAAACTGCAAAACTTAATTTCAGCCCTTCAATAATGTATAGAATAGACTGAGCAAAACATGGCTAACCTGACAACTCCACAACACCATATATAAAACCAAAGCTGATTTGAGAAACATTCAAACCATAAATTTCAGTGAAAAGTGAACTGAATTCAACGAGAATATGGATGCATATACTGAGTTACTGCATCTCATCTTCTTCTGTTCTCTATAAGGGGTTTGTTTAAGACATATTGTCGTGGGCAGCTTCTGCTCATGGGGTCCAAAACATTTCTTTTGTTTTTATGCCTGCGTACGTGTTGCTTTGGAACTCTGAATGCTTTTATTTTGCAAATTCATAATGAATTTACTTCCTCGCCCATGTGCTTAGCATTTTAGCTACAAATCATTGTTACGAATAAAAAATCTCAAGAATTCTACAAACGATATCATCACCATTAGTATATTAGATAACAATGAAACCCAAGACTTCAAGTAAAATCTAAATGCACAATGTCAAGAAAATCCGTGAATATATGGTGGTATTATCCTGGCATACACTACAATATTAGGTGTGCTTGACAATTTGGTTCAAAAAATTCTGAAATTGCAATCTCAATATGATGGATGTTTCAAAATTCAAATTCATCCATCCTCTTCTTGGGTTTTTTAAAGTTTGGGTGAGAGGGTGTGTGGTGTGGTAAAGGGACTGGAGCAAACAACTCTGTTGGTAAGGCTACATGGCTGTATGATTTGTGGTACTTGTATTTGGGGCCATGCCACCCACAGGCCACAGGCCACAGCCCTCACTTTAATCTTGGTTTACATTGGGCCTCTGATTTTTGAAACGCTTAAGTAAACCAGTGATCCACATACGTGTTCCGACTGGAAATTCATAGCGGCAACTCAAATCAAAGGATTTATAGTACAGATTATGTGTTGCGAGTTGTAATACATTGGTGCAGGAAATTCAAAGATAAGCCTGGTTACTGTGACCCTTATGCCGACCGGAAATTTTAGTTAAAACTTATACGTTTTTTTGTTTGCTTATAAAATAATAAAATATAGATTGTACTATGGATTATGTACTTAGTTGTTATCCATCCGTGGATCGTCCAGATGGTTAGGGCAAAATAGAAATAGTGTAATAGAAACAAAGTTTAAGGTTCGATTCCCCATCTGAACATCCGCAATTTAAGTGGGAGGTTGTGACGGTGGATTGCTGTACTAGTCTCTCCAAATGATTAATCAAGATACATATAAACTAGTCCGAACACTTTAGTTACAGAAAAAAAAAAAAAAAAGCGTGTAAACTGAACTGAACATCTTGGTTAAAAATAAAAGTACTTGGTTGTTCTAGATTTTGGCCTTCCAGCAGATGTAGCTGATTGACATCTGTTTATATGTAGTTTTGGAGTGCATTTCATTTATCAAACAAATAAATTCATTAAAGGAAATGTTCCCCTCTTTTTGGGATAAGCATACAACGGTCAGATCTCAAGGTTTCTGTTCTAAATGAAACTACTTTGAATAAGCTCTGTTTTTCTCTCTTAAATATTTCATTTCTGATCCCAGGCTTTCTGCCATTCTACAAATCTCCTCATATCGTGGGTGAGACTTGTCACCTGATGAAAACCCGTGCAAACCATCAATATCACCCACATCCACCCAACTAAATCCCACCTCCTTCTTTACTCCTTTCTCCCTCATCCCTTTCCTTATTTTTGCAACCTTTTCCCAGTCCCCCTTCTCAGCATACAAATTAGACATCAATACATATGAACCTGACCCCATGGGCTCCATTCCCAACAAAACATCTGCCACCCTCTCACCCATCTCTACATTCCCATGTATCCTACAAGCGCCTAGCAGGCTTTGCAACATAGACATCCCCGGCCCTCCAGGACTGCGACCCATCAGCTCCTCTGCCTCCTTGAGTCTCCCAGCACGGCCCAACATATCTACCATACAAGAATAATGTTCTGGGGATGGCTCAATCTCATAATCTTTCACCATTGAGTCAAAGAGCTGAAGGCCAATATCAACCATCCCCTTTCTACCGCTAGCAGTTAGTACAGAAAGGAAGGTGATTGAGTCAGGTCTGACCCCTTCCTTCTCCATCTTCTTAAACCAATTCATCACTGATTCATAGTCTCCATGTCTTGCATAGGCAGAGATTATTGCTGTCCAAGCAAATTGACTCTTTTCAGGTGTCTCACTGAAAACTCTTTGGGACTCATAAATGCTCCCACGCTTTGCATACATGTCAAGAAGAGCACCAGAAACAACTGGATCAGTATTCAACCCAAGCTTTATGATATGAGAGTGGCACCGCTGCCCATGTTTAAGAGATATATCCTCAGCAGAACCAATAGCACTCAAGACACTACCAAATGTGTATTGGTTTGGCTTAGATTCAGAACTTGCCAATAAAAATGTTGACAACGCTGCTTGACACAATCCATTTTGAGCATACCCTGAGATTAAAGCATTCCACGATATAATTTCTCTATAGTTAAGCTCCTCAAAAACTTTCTTTGAGTCTTGCATGGACTGAAACTTAGCATACATGGTGATGAGGCTATTACAAACACTAGATTCCAACACAAAGCCAGTCTTTATACAAAGCCCGTGAATCATTTGCCCTTCTTTAGTCAAATGCCTAACTGTTATGGCATGGAGTAGCCCAACAAATGTAACATCATTTGGATCAACCCCATCTATTCTCATCTCACCAAAGAGAAACACAGCATCTGCATCATTCATTGAAATCATTGTGGTCCAAGAAACTACATTACGTTCATCCATCCAGTCAAATACCAACTTTGCATCTTCAATTGCCTCACATTTTGAGTATGTTGAGATCAAAACATTTCCAACTGAAAGATGTGTTCCATATCCTGTTTTTATAGTCAAACCATGTATCTGTCTCCCCAGCTGTAAGTTTCTTTCATGACCACAAGCTGAAACTGCACTGGTGAATGAGACATGATCAAGCCTTATCCCTTCTCTCACCATATCAATAAATGCCCAAATAGCTTCCAACCCATAGTTCCCTTCCTGGGTGTACCCTGATATCATAGCATTCCACGATACCAAATCCTTATTTGGCATTGCATCAAACACGCTCCTAGCCTCGACTAAATGCCCCCATCTCGAGTACAAGGTTATAAGAGCATTACCTACAAAAGTATCACTGTCTAATCCAAACTTGACTATGAGAGAATGCAATTGCAACCCAAATAAAAAACCCCGCTGGTCCAAACAAACCGCGAGAATAATAGTATAAGTCACTGCATCAAAAACAACCCCATATAAATTCATTCTAAGAGCAAATTGCAATGCATCCTCGTTTTTTGGAAACCCCGAAAGAATAGTATTCCACGAAACAATATCAGGATTACTCAAGTTGTTAAATATACATAAAGCCCTATCAAATTGACCAGATTTACAGTACATATTCATCAATGAATTTGAAACCGTAATATAAGAAATGAACCCAGAAGTAATAGAAAACCCGTGTATTTGGCACCCTGGTTTTTGGTCTCCGCTACAAGCCTTGAGAGCGATTGCAATCGTAACTTCATCAATATCGTAGAGAAAACCTAATTGCAGATGCCTTCTGAAGATTTCGAGAGATTGAGAGGGACTTTTTTTGCGCATAGAATTGAGCATGGAAGAATTAATTGGCAAAACATTTCGAGGGGAGCTTTTGTCGAACACTTGATGTACATGGTTGGATGAGTGGATGTATTTAAAATTTGTCGACCGTTGTTTGGCTAGTCCTTGAAGGGTTTTGGTATTTAGTTGGCGGGTAATCATGAGAGTGTAACAACAGATCGTTTGTGAAAGAGAAACAGCCCAAATTAATACATGGGCTAGTTAAAATCAAATACAAGGGTTTGTGCCACGTAGATTGGGGGGGGTGAAAATCAAATATCACGCGGCGGCTCGTGACTCTGTGCGATACGATAGGAGTGTGTGTGTGTATATATATATATATATATATATATAATCTCTTCTATTTTCTAAATATTGATATTACTGCATTACATTGTGATGTCTTAATTGATTCTTATAATAACTCTATATAAATTTTTCAAAAGCTATAATTATGAAAATTAAATTAGGACAGTTTATCTTTTTTTTTTTTTCCAAGTATATTATTACTATTGTCTTCAATAATATTTATTCAATATAATTAAATTTGTGACAAGTGAAAAAGTTTATATATGCAAGGATTTAATTGATTTTTAATAAATATAATTAAAGAAATATCTGGACCACATGTGAATAAAAATAATAAAATGGAAATAAGCTTTTGTGGTGACAAAGAAAAGTGTTTAATATGTCAGGCCAAAATGGTCCCGTACAGCGATTGAGGTTTGAGTCCAAAGGGCTGATATGTACTGGGGACCAGTCTTTGCTAGCTCATCAGGTGTCAAGCACTCTGCACTCATACTCACAAGTCACAATCACATATTCAAGTTTGCATTAAATTCATTAATTAATTAAACAATTTATTTTTTTATAAAAGATTATTTATCTTCTCTTAATTTGTGTTTCNTTTTTTTTATGATTTCTTTGTTCATAAGTAATGTTCTATACTTTTGTTTTCGTTTACAGTAACAGAAGAACCAACCGCCATTGCAGCACCACCCCCATCCGCCACTACAGCCACGGCCAGCACGGCCGCGACAGAGAGTAGTGTATCCTACGAAGAGACCGGGGAACGAAGGAGGAGATACAGGGGAGTGAGGCAGAGACCATGGGGCAAATGGGCTGCGGAGATTCGAGACCCGCACAAAGCCGCAAGAGTCTGGCTCGGCACCTTCGACACCGCCGAAGCAGCCGCCAGAGCTTACGACGAAGCAGCCTTGAGGTTCAGAGGCAACCGCGCCAAACTCAATTTCCCGGAAAATGTTCGACTCGTAACTCCCCCACAACCCCAACAACAACACCAACACCAAAATTTTCCCTCCTGCCAAACACCTCCTGGATCGTCTTTAACTTCTTTAACATCATATCAACCTCACCAACAAGCCGCAATGACGACGATAGCAACCGCCGTTACACCGCCGCCAATGCCGCCGTTTTTCATGTCGCAAAATTATCAAGACTATTATGACTACTCTCAACTCTTGCAAAACCAACCCCCTCAAATCTTTCAAAACCAACCCCCGAGTTTGTTGCAACAACTTCTTCAGTCCAATACACAAATGGGTTCATCCGTTCAATCGCCATTGTTGTCTTCTTCTTCTTCTCCGTCTTATTTAGTCGGACCACCTTCATCTTCCGGATCGTCTTCCTCCTCAACATTTCCTCTGCTTTTCGGTGAGCAGAGTTTTCTAAGGCCACCCCAGAGTAATACTAATCAAAATCAGAGTAGCGGGTCGAATTTTCAAGTGCCGCCATGGACGCATTCAAGTCACTATCCTCCTTCTTCAGGTGGATAATATTGAATAACCTGATCATATATTTTATTTTTTTTAAATTTCAAAAGCAAAAATGTTCAACAATTTTTTTTTTTAATATAATTTGCATGTAATTTTGGTTTATTGTTGTTATTTGTTGTAAAGAAAAAAGAAATTAAATTAATCATTAAAAATAATATAAAACTTTTGAGGAAAAAACAAAGAAGGATTTAGGAATTTTTAGGCATAGTTGGATTTTGATGTTTACGTTGTTTGCTGTCTGCTATTTGCTTTACAATTTAGCCCCTAAAATATTCACAAAAGAATGTACTTTGTTTCTTTAATTATTCCATATATCATCATTATCTTAATTAATTATTTTATGATTATCCAAAGTGTTTGTGGCTGCAAATAGGGATGGGCGTTTGCCCCAGCCCCGCGGGGATCGGCTCGAATGGGGCGGGAAATCCCCTAAAATATCGGGGATAGGGTTGAGGACGGTCCTAAAAAAAATCCCTACCCTCGGGGATTGGTCGGGGGAGGGGATTGTGCAATCCCCGACCCGTCAACCCCACCCTCGTGGAGCCCTGCCTTCTTTTATTGAGATGTTTTTTCTTTACGAGATTATATATAAAGTTTGAGTTTAAATCATAGTTTTAAGTAATATATCTAAATTTATGATATTTACTTTTATAATATTTTATAATGTTTATATTAAATTTATAGAAAAAATAATTTAAACGAGACAAATTTAATAATTAAATATATGTATTATTACTTTGTGCATTTCACAAAATAATAAAACATGGCCCAAAAATAAATTTGATTAGAATATTACAATTTACCAAAACAATATAAGAATATATACAATTGTTTAACGACTTACAAATTACACAAACTCAATTATCCTTGTAATTAATTAATGGGTCAATTAAATATAATGTTAATCAATGTTGGGAACTTGGGATCATAGTATTTGTCTTTTTCACAAATGGATTAATTTTATTAGTTGTAGTAAAGATAATGTTTTATAAATTAATTCATCAATTTACCTAGTAGATTATGTTAAGGTTAAATTTAGTTATATTAATTTTATGAAATATTAATTAATTGACAGGGCAACTAAGCCTAAACCTCCATATAATTGAATAATTAACCAATTTATCTAATAAATTATGTTAAGATTAGATATAGATATATTTATTTTATGAAAAATTAATTAATTAACAGGACCAACTAAGCCTAAGCCTCCATACAATTGAATAATTAATCAATTTACCTAATAAATTATGTTAAGATTAGATATAGATATATTTATTTTATGAAAAATTAATTAATTAACAGGGTTGATTAAGCCTAATTGACTAAACTTTCATAGTTCATACAATTAAATAAGTAATCAATTTACGTAGTAAATAGATTGAATTTAGTTATTTCAATTTTATGAAAAGTTAATTAATTAACAGGGCTAATTAAGCCTAAGCTTCTATACAATTGAATAATTAATCAATTTATCTAATAAATTATATTAAGATTAGATATAAATATATTTAATTATGTTAGGGGGGAAAATCCTCGCGGGGCAAATTTTTCCACGAAGCCCTGTTCAATCGAGCTAGGTCGGGACAGGATGGGGATGAGAGTGATTGTATCCTTACGAGACGGGGACGGGGAATGGGGTCCTCGGCCCGACCTACCCCGCGCCCATCCCTAGCTGCAAAGTTGAGACAAGTCGCTGTTGGTTTAGGAAACCAAAACAAGCGGAATAGGTTCCATGTGAGATTGAACTTCTTGCTTTGTTGGTTGATTTGAATGTTCAGCCTCTGGGTTTTTTTTTTTAATGGAAAGTTGGTGGGTTAGTCAATTATTTAGAGGAACTGATTTTATTTATAATTCAGGATTTTTACCAAATTTTCTATGTCTAATTATTTTCCCTTTGATTTTTTTTAAAGTTTAGTGTTGTGATTATATTCAATGTAACCTACACCCTTCAATTCTTTCATGCACATCTTCAGTTCTTTTGCCGCAAAACTTTAATTTGATATTTATCTGAGATATTCTTTTGGGAGTCAACTTTGTCTAACTTTTTTATGCTAAATATTGGTCGAAAATTGATCTTTAACTTCATCTATACTAAAGAATTTTATGATCTTTTATTTGATATTATTATTCTTGTCGAAGGATGACATTATCTTCCATTAATGTACTAATATTCTCTTTATTAGATGCCAAAATTATATTAAAAAAATAGAAAGTAAAAGTAAAACTTGAATTTAGTAGTTTCATGTGTTAAGAAAGGTAAATTCTACACTCTAACATCCACATTTAACATTTTCTTAGTTATGAAAACAATTTTATATTATCACTATTGGGTGGTCTGATGGTAAAAAAATAAAAGGGTTTAAAGAGTTCCTTTGAGTCCCCCCAGATATATAGGGGTGGTCACTAAAGAGATTTACCGCGGTGTTCACTCAAAGCCCTGAAAGATTAGTTGAGGTAAACGTAAACTAGCCCAAAAAAACCGTTCACAAAAATCGATTGGCCTGACGGTTAAAGAGGTTTGTTCTTTTTTTCAGTTTCTGGGTTTAAACTTTAGGATTATCTACTACATATATTGTGGTTTACTTGACCTTTTGAGTTGTAGGGTGTTTTAATGGACTCTAGAGATTAGTTAAGTTAAAAAAAAAAAAAAAAAAAAAAAAAAAAAGCTTCATGCTATAAAATTTTTGTTTGTGAAACAATATTAGGTCTTAGTTATTACCATATGTTTTTGAAAAGTAAACGTGGAAAACATTTTTGCTTTTGATAATGGCTCCTTTGACCCCATTTGGCATCTATAATTAAAATGCCATCGTGGCATCCTGTCGATAACGTCGAATTAAAAATGAATTATTTAAAAGCCCCATAGTAGACCATGTTTGAAACCATATCTTAAAACATTGTTTTCATTTTCATTATAAATAAATAAGAACAATAATAATTTTTTATTTTAATATTAATCAACATGTTTAGGTGGAACCAAGGGATGAGGCTTAATGTCACAATCAATTTTTTTTTTTGTATTCCCAAGAGGAGTTCGCTAGAAACGTATCAACCACATCGTACTTCTTAAAATATTAAATATTTATTATTTTTGTTTGTTTGATTAAAATAATTAACGATGGATTTGACTGTGTATACATTGAAATGACGAATTTAAGATATTCAATTATTGTGATAAAAAATTAATGGATTAAACTTTTATTTTTCTATTTAATGCAATTCCATAATTAAAAATAAATGTTTCTAAATATTATGTCATTTTCAAATTGAAATAATGGATAAAAAAACCTCAAAAAGCCAAGTAATTAAATGGATAAAAACTCTTTGAAAAGCTAAAATTACTTGAAGTGGTGTTTAATAATTTGACTTTTAACTTCAAGGGGCAGGTCAGTGTGTGAGAATTTGTTCATTTTATTGAATTTTGGGTTTAAGCTACTTTGAGATCATCTGTCATATTTAGATTACCTGAAATAAATAAATTTGTAAGATATCAATGAGTTGTAAAAATAATTAAAATGTACACAAATTAGTCAGAACACCCTGATTAGGAAAAAAGGAATTTTGACTTTTGACTAAAGTATATGTAATACTTAAAATATTATTTATATATAAAGTGTGTATTGGATGAATTCATCTTTATAGCTAAGATTAAAACCTATCCTGCTACCAAGAAATTATTGTTGACAATATTTATATTAAATAAAAATATAACAATATTGAATTTTGTTAAAAAAAATATATTATGGGGCCAGAAAGGTGTACTTGAGATTGAGGGTTACGTCTCAGGCAAAGATTAATCTGTCACTTTCCAGAAACATCTTTACCGAAAACAGCTTGCATCATTATGCACGTGGAAGTACACGGTGACATCTATCCCCAGGATAGATTTCACCTCACGGCGGGCCCCTCCACAAACAGACCAGTTTGCGCTATGTTAAATGACTCGTTGTCCTGTCCTGGTCCATTAACAACAGGCAATCCCTTCTCGTTTCGTTTCATCCAAGGGAAACTGAGACTGTACAAGCTTGGTGACCGTGAGTTCAGTAACGTCATGGTTTTGGACACGTGCGCTAGTTGTTTGTTGGTTTGTGAGAATAGTTTATAAATTGCGGGGGAGGGTCGAATTGAGATGAAAAGTTAACTGGTGGGGCAATTAGTGTTTACCTACTATTTGGGTAAAGTGGAGTTTATTAAAAATACAAGAAAAAATAATAATTTATGTACTAAGGGTTATTCATGTGCCCAAGTCACTATCATTTTTCTATGAATCCATCTTTGTACCCATCAAAATGTGGGTTGATTGATTGATCATTGTATACTACTAGAAAGATTAATAATATATGATAAAGATTGATTCATAAAAATCTCACAAACTTTTTTACAACCTCGAAGTGACAACTTGCAATTGATCAAACGAAAAAATTCATTAAAAATCAATAACGAACTGTCACATCGAGATTGTAAGATTAAGTTGTAAGTATAGTATTACCCTGATAAATATATACATACAAAATCCTTATTGGTGATATAACCATGGCTTTTCGATTTTGTAAAATATCTCATGTGTTAACTTAATGTTAAGAGTATAGATATTTTGTTTTTGATGTAGATTTGATCTTTATGTATAAAACATAATGATATTTATGTATTAGATTGTAAATTTATTTTGAGTTTATCTCTCGTCCCATTTCAATTAAAATTTTGATCACTTAATTCTAAAATTTTATTTATAACCACAAAGTTTCAGTTTTATAAAATGTTATTTTATTTTGCTGTGGCATTAGTTGACCGGTTTAAAAACTTAATATATTTAACGTGGATTAAGATTATTCATTCATAGTAATTTTTATATAACTTAAATGATACATGTATTATGAGATTTGTATATTTATTTATAATTTATCTCTCGGCTTATTTAATTAAGTAATTTTTAAATAAATTATTTTAAAATCACTAAAAGTTATTAGTGATAAAAAAAAAAGTACATACCTAAATTACAA